TTCGACCCCATAAAGTATATATATTCTTGATCAGCATCAATAGCCGAGTCGATGGAGTCATGTCTGTCTATCCGTCTGTCCGTCTTGTTTGTTGCCTGGATCTCAGAGACTATAAAAGCTAGGGAAACCAAATTTGGTTTCCAGACTCATGTGATATCACACTGCTACAAGTGTATTTTAAAATTTCGCCGCACCCACTTCCGCCCCCACAAAGGACGAAAACTGTGGCAGGTACAATTTAAAAAATACGATAAAACTGAAAACGCAGTGTCGTAGAAAATGACCATATCTGCCAGGTTGCCAGAATTAAGAAATTAATTTTCAATTACTTAAAAAGATACCATTTTAATAAAATTAAAAAAAATGGTATGGCGTAGAAAAAAAAACAAAACAGAAAAAGTGGGTTTGGTTCCTTCAGGATAAATTGTGTCGGGTAGTTTTATCGGTGAAATAAAGTACAACTGCAGAAGCTCTGGCTTAATAAACTAGTTTGGGATGAGTCGATTCCAATGAATCTGGAAACAGCATGGAACTTATTTAAAAATCCTTGGGTCAGCTGGAAAAGATTGCCGTACCTCGATTTGTGCATACTAATCCCATGTCACAGATTCAAGTACATACGCCTCCATAAGAGCATATGGAGCATGCGTCTATATCCGTAGTAAGAGTGCAGAAGGTTTCAAGGTCTCGTTGTTGACTGCAAAGTTGAAAGTAGCGCCGCTCAAGACGAAAACGCTTCCAAGGCTTGAGCTATGTGCGACTCACCTTCTCGCAGATCTCTGTCACCGACTAAAATTACTACTCAAGGTGCCAATCGAACGAATGGTATATTGGTCAGATTCGGAAATTATCCTTCATTGGATCCGGTGGCACCCTTCGTCGTTTTCAACACTCGTAATGAAGCGAGTAGCGGATATTCAGGTTAAGGCTAAGACGTACAGAAAAAGGCTAAGTCGATCTGGTTTAGTTCACCAGCGTTTTTGAAGGATGAAGAAGAGAGCTGGTCCACTTTCTGCTTACCGAAGAAGTGCTGAAAAGGGAAACCAGGAAGACAGCGCTCGAACCAAATGCCGTGCCGGCTAAATCGAATGATACGAGGGATATCTGGCAGACCTTAAACTTTTAGAAGTTTTTTTTTGTTATATCCGAAATTGTAAAATCCGAAATATCAAATTTGAAGTAACATCGTCATCACTAGAATGTCTGGACGTTGATATGCAATGACTGCACCATCAAGTGGCCCATGCGACACCAAGCCGAAGCCTGTTACGCGCGGAACCCAGGCAGAAACGCAGCCCTCCTCCCGCCCAACCGACCGAGGGGCGCTGCCGCATGACGCGCGACGCGTGTTACCGAACCGATCGCGAGCATGCAGGAAAGATAGGTGTTAGACTAAAATTCGAGGAAAATTAGAGCTAAACACAACTCAAAGAGCTAAGCATGCAAAGATAGCTAAAAAATATAACTAATTACGGGAAAGGTATGTTAGTATTAGTGATTTAAGAAGAGGAAGGGAATTAGTAGTTGATATTACACAGTAAAGGGAATTGAAGTCCGAGCAAAGTACCCTAAATGGTTCGTGCAAGGAATAATTCGATCTACAAAGCGGAAGGAAAAGAGGAATGAAGTTTCTAGTAGATCTAATAGGAATCGTAAAGTTTATGCGGCTCAACAAGTCAGGGCTATCTACATCACCCTTGATCAGGTTGTGCATAAAAATCACACCAAGCATTTTTCTACGACTAACTAAGGTTGGAAGGTTTATTAAAAGCAATCTACGAGGATAAGATGGCAGTCTCACACCTGCATCCCAGTTAAGGCCACGCAGAGCAAAAAGTAAAAAGTTTTTCTGGACTGATTCTATACGGTCCTGGTGTACTTTGTACTGAGGGCACCATACACAAGAGCCGTATTCTAAAATCGGACGAACAAGCGAGATATAGAGAGTCTTCGTTATATAGGGGTCGTCAAATTCCTTTGACCACCTCTTTATAAACCCAAGCACACCCATGGCCTTATTTACCATGGTAGAAATGTGTTCAGAAAACTTCAACTTTGTGTCTAATTTAACACCAAGATCATCAACCAAGGTAATTCTCTCAAGAGAACCACCGCAGAGGCTATAAGGAGCCAATAGGGGGCTGGAGCGATGAAATGTCATTACTTTGCATTTCGAGGCATTTAGGTGTAACATATTTGCACAACACCATGATTGAAAGTTATTGAGATCGGATTGAATACAACGAGACATTTCGAAAAATGTTCGCGGTTGTACAAAGATGCAAGTATCAGGACGATATTGAAGGGGTTCATATAGGCAAAAGGTTAGGGCCCCGTCAGCGGTTGAATCCCGTTATTCATGAAGACGCAGATGATGTGTTTGATTGATGCGAGTTGGGGGACGATTTGCATTCCTATGTCATAAAATGCCATATTTCCGTTTTTATTGACAAAACGCTCTCAGTAATTTTCAAGTGAGTGTATTTAGAGCAGGGGTCGACACGCAGACACTATCATGTTTTAGTGCATTTGTGTGCGAAGACAACAGACACGAAGGCAAATACGTCAACTTATATCTCTGCCGCTGCGGCAGCCGAGCAACAGCGGCACACGAAGTTGGTTCTCTGCCGCTGCAGCCGATCTACACAAAGCTTGTACGTTGTACGTATGCCGACCTGCCCGAGCATTTTTCTATGCACAGTTCGTATGAGATGCCGGCCTCTGATTTAGAGAGCTTACTTGAATAGCAAATGCTCAGAAGGTGTATTTAAATGCAAGCCTCGACTGCAGACCTAACTTGGGCAACTTTTCACTAATCTGACGTCTTACTCCTTCTTATTGGCATTCTACTTATTGGCATTCCATAGGTCGCAGAGGATGTCCGCACACTGCGACAACGCGACAAGCATCGTCGGAGCGAAAAGCCACTTCAGCGAACTCAGGAGAAGGATGTAGGCAGAGGCGGACTTTGCTGCAGACTATGCTGGTCGGGATCGAGGTGGTGCTAAACTCGACTTCGCTGGACCACTAAGCCCAGACCCATGCGACGTAGACGCATTGAATCCCAAGAACGTATTGACATTCAGCACATTCAGTACTCTGGAGCAGGAGGTTCTTAGCTGCTTAGAGCGATGGCGGCTTGTCTCGTAAGGCAGGAAAATGTTCTGGCAGCGATGGTGCTGAAGTATGTGCTAGGCTTGAAAATAATAGGCGCCTAGGACAACCCACCACCTTTACAGTGGCTCGTCTGGCAGGACGGAAAGGTCAGGCTCGTAAAATTTATGGCGAGCTGTGGAGCGGCGTTTCGAAGGTCCATCCACCCATTGGCGCCTTTAGCAATGGATTGCTAAGCCCCGTCTATCACGTCGCACCACAATTCTGTATCTATCTTTTTGTTTAAATTGTTATTCCTTGAAGCTTAGGGCAAAGCGGAAGCTCAATACAGCATCTGTCTCGGTCTTCGCGAACTCGTTCCGATTCGCTACCGTAGATAAGTTAGACTAGACTTATTGTGAAAAGTGTAAATGTGCGATATACGGGCCATGCTCCTAAAATCTCGAAAAATATACCCTCGATTTGTAAAGAATTCACGTACAGCAATTATTGACCCGGTCGGACATGGTGCTTTTTTAATTGAATTTCAAAGTTTGATTTTTTGCTATATGTACAAAATGTAAACATAATCTTGTATACTTCTGAATACAACTTTTTATACCCGATACTCGAAGAGTTTATTGTGGTCGAATAAAATGTGTACAAAGCACAGAAGGAAGCGTTTCCGACCCCATAAAGTATATATATTCATGATCAGCGTCAATAGCAGAGTCGATAAAGCCATGTCTATCTGACTGCCTGTCCGTCTCAATGAGCGCCTAAATCTAAAAGACTATAACAGAGCAACAAAACGCATTATTGCCAGAAAGTTAAATTAAGAAATTAATTTTCAGTTGCTTCCTCCTCCTCCAGCAAGAGACCACGCTACTCATTCTCTTTCTCGTTCGCACACACTCTGGCCAGTGCAGTGCGTAACCTTTGCGGATATTATGTAGAATCTACATTGTGTATGTATAATTTAAATTTTATATGTGGAATCGACATTGTATATGTAGACTTAGATAACAGATGTAGCAAACAAATGTTTGTAGAATATACATTGTAGATGTAGATAACAGATGTATCGTAGAGAATCACCATATCTCCCAGATTGCCGAATCTGAATCAGATCGGATAATAATTATAGCCAGAATGAAGAAATTAATTTTCAGTTGCTTCCCCCGCCTTCACCAGCCTGAAACCCGCTACTCATACTCTTTCTCGCTCGCACACTCTGCCTCATTATGTACACGAGGGCCCTCTAGCGGAGATGTAGAATCTAAATGTTACATGTATAATCTACATGTTAGATGTAGATGTAGATAACAGATGTAGCAAAATATGTAAAATGTAAATTTTTTATAAATTTTAAATTTATAAAAAATTATAAGCTCAAAAATTTATATACTGACTGACTCGCACGTTTCTTCTCGTTAATTAATTATATTGTATTGAGTAAAGGTTATTTCAAGACTGAGTTGAAGATTTTTGATGTGAGCTCTGCAGACCGTGAAAGTTTAAAGTATTGAGCTTTTACATTTGTTTATTTAATTAATGTTAAGTTTAACATGGTTTGTGTATTTAATGAACGTGATAAAAAATAAAATTAATAAAAATCTTTGAGATCGTTTGGAAAGTGAGGTTTTCCAAAACATCATTGTTTGTGTGTTTACATATTTGAGAACATGTTTATAAAATATATACAGCACAAGTCGTCCTTGTTCAGTAAATGAATTCAAAATGGAAATGCGGAGTTAAAGAAATCAGTAACTTAAAGAAACAATAAGGATGAAACAAGGATTTCGTTGATCCTTGTTTCATCCCTATTTATTTTTCTTCCCCCTGAAATTAGTTTTAGAGCCATTATAGAGCCTTGTCTTTTAAATAAATCCTCAAATATGTTGCAGATCACCTCTTACTTCATACAGAACCTTGGGTTCTCCTTCGGCATCAGTGATGTGACGCCTAGCCAAAAACTTCTGCACCACAAGGAGGTGTTGTTGGAGCGCGGCTACGCAAAGTGCAACGAATATATAGAAAATTTAAAATCCGGAACACTACAGTGCCAACCTGGATGTACGCCCAAGGAGACCTTGGAATCGGTAATGTTGCGTGAGCTATCCGGCATTCGCGAGCAAGCAGCCAAAACTTGTTTCGCCGAGCTGCACACCACCAATAGCGCTCTTATAATGGCTCTGAGTGGCTCCAAAGGCTCAAACATCAATATTTCTCAGATGATCGCTTGCGTAGGACAGCAAGCTATTAGTGGTAAACGAGTTCCTAACGGTTTTGAGAATCGCGCTTTGCCCCACTTTGACAGGCACTGTGAGTAGACACTGATCTAAAAACAAACAAGCAAAATAAATAAACGGACTTTTTCACATTTCAGCTGCTATTCCCGCGGCTAGGGGCTTCGTTCAGAACAGCTTCTATTCGGGCCTAACACCTACGGAGTTTTTTTTTCACACTATGGCCGGACGCGAAGGTTTGGTTGACACGGCGGTGAAAACTGCAGAGACAGGATATCTGCAAAGGCGTTTGGTCAAGTGCCTTGAGGATCTGGTAGTGCACTACGATGGCACTGTTCGCAATGCTGTCAGTGAGATGGTAGATACCATATATGGTGGTGATGGCCTTGACCCTGTTTCAATGGAAACCCGAAACAAGCCAGTCGATTTAATTCATCAATACAACAATCTGCGGGCACAAATACCGCATCGCGTGCAACACGCTCTACCGGCCGCCGAGATTCCTGTCGTTTTAGAATCGCTTTTGAAGAATTCAGAGTTTACTGACGCTCGCGACGATTTTAAGATGGATATCAAGTAAGTAGCCTGGATGAAATGATTCCCTGAAAGTGTGTTCGAAAATGAAGGACAAAGGTAAAGGCACCAAGATTATTTGTACACCCGGCCCTCATTTAACACGGGGGTTATGTTCATGGAAAACCTCGTGTTAAGCGAAAGCGTGTTAAGCGAAAGCGTGTTAAGTGGATATATGGATTCAGTACAAAATTACGTTACTAGAATTCAGGCATATGTAGGCAAACAAATTGTTTTATTATTCAAATTTATTTTTAATTAACCAAAATGTTTTTTTGTGTTGGCTCTTCTGGTTTATCAAAGAAATCAGTAATTTTAAATTGTTTAGTGGCTTTTAAAGCTTCGTTGTAACACTCTTTATAAGATAAAAGTATTTTTTCCAACTCACTTAAGTCGTCTTTCAATGAGCGGATCAGAATTTATAAATATATTAGAAAAATTTAGTTTGGTTCACAGCGGAAAAAAATTTAATTTTGTTGCCTAGTGTTATTACATCTGACAGCTCCGTTAGAGCTTTCCCTTTTACTACGCGCACCCTATGCGCAGTGATGCACACACATGACAAAAAAAAAATAATTTCAATATTTTGCAATCCTGTAAGAACGAGGTTTTGCGCGTGTTAAAAGGGAGAAGGGAGCAAATTTATAGCCGTGAAAGACCGAGTTCGTATTAAAAGAGTTTGTGTTAAGCGAGGGCCAGGTGTATACGGGAAGGCACATATGTATATGGGCATTTCTCTGGCTTTATTCTCGACGATTTGATTAACGAAAAATTCAAGCCGTTTCGTGCGCAATAAGCGCGGCACCACAGCTCTCCAGCTTGTGAATGTGTATCGCTAGATCAGTACTAGTGACCACCTCACCAACTGGAGCGTCAATCGACGGTGTGCCTTCCGAGGCGGACGTGATGTTTGCACCGGCACAGAGGGCAAAAACCGAAAATGCAACGGAATATATATATGCTATATGCTATTTAAGTTTCTGGTCTAACTATTAAAAACACAACTTAGGCGTCTGAAAATGGTTTTATTTTTTTGAACAACGTTCTCCAGGAATAGAAACCCTTTGTTAAACATTTGAACCTATTTTCACAACACTTTTGGCACTCAGAAAAAGTATTTCTAAAACAGGCCTTAATCGCTTTAAAACATCCATACCGTCGATTACACTACTCGACAAAATCGAACTTTTTTTTTCCTCAAGGATCCAAACCGACTTTTTCTGATAGATATGGAGATTTTAAATTTTTTAAAGAATTATGGTTTTTTTTCTATGGCAGAACTTTTTTTTGAAGAATTTTTGAAGTCTGGTATTTTTTTTAAAGATTTTTTCAGAGGAAGCGCTTGTTTTTTTCACATATCTCTAGTATCTTAAGTCTGGTTGTAAAGAACTTTGCTATTTTGAAAAGGTAATTAAAACCGCTAGAAGTTAAGCCTAAGCACTTTGTGATTACAGCTTACCGTCTGGGAAATATAAAGCATTGAAATGCAAAAATGATGATTTTTGTGCGGTATTTTTTACGAAATTTTGACTTTAAAAACTCAGGAAAAGTCGAAAAGTATAGGTGCATTAATTTGGCGTCGTTCCAGGTATCGCTCATTAAAATCTATGGAGAGACCTTGGAGCTAAAATTCGTTAACCAAACCTAAAATATGGAAAAAATGAACAAAAAATACCTTTTCGAAGGTTGCGGGCCCAACTGCCAATTGGGAACAAAGCAAACAAAAAAGGGTTGTACATTTGGTACCTGATCGCGATCCCAATTCCCAATGGGCAGTTGAGCTCGCAACCTTCGAAAAGGTATTTTTTGTTCATTTTTTCCATATTTTAGGTTTGGTTAACGAATTTTAGCTAGCGGTTTTAATTATCTTTTCAAAATAGCAAAGTTCTTTACAACCAGATGTAAGATACTTGAGTTAATTGAAAAAAACAAGCGCTTCCTCTGAAAAAAGCTTTAAAAAAATACCAGTTTTCAAAAATTCTTTAAAAAAAATTTCTGCCATAGAAGAAAAAAAAAATATCATCAAACCATTTCTAAGCCCCAAATCTTTAAGAAAAAGTTGGTTTTGTTCCTTGAGGAAAAATCGTGTTGACTAGTGTTATTGATTATGTTTCGATTTAATATTTTTACATTCTTTTTTTAATTTTGTGGGTTTTTACGCTAAGACATATTTTTTACCACGAGATCATGGAAAATCTTATTAATGGTTGTCATAATAATGCCCAAGGATACCTCAATCTCACAGTATGTGACGATCTTGCCCAATAATTTCGCGCACCGCATCGATATTTTGTGGAACAAAAATTAATTTTAAACTACCTTCACGAAATTCGTCCTGCCACGAAGGACGTCCACGGTTGAATTCGCGATACCTGATTTTTACATTGGCAATGCATGGTGCTTCATCAATAAAAGTTGAACTAAGCTGATGTAAGCATTTGTGGCTAAAAAATTCACCTCAAATATGGTAGAAAATCATGACAAAGACATTTTCATGTCTAAATTAAAATTTTTGTCCGAGATGAATTTTTGATTATTGTTAATCGATATCAAACGTGGTCGTACATGAAAAATTGTATGTATAATTCATAAAACTCCAAACTTTTTTATGCAACTGACCATTTGGTCCTAATACGACTAGAAGCGAAAAAGGCCAGAAAAATAATTAGCACCCCTAGTATGTTCTCAAGCGGTTCCGATCCCGTTATTGCCGTTGCTAGCACTCAATAATGTCTGTACAACATATTAAACTGCTTTGACTCTCCAAGTATGTTTTATGCACTTTTCCAGGAACTGAAGCAATATATTGATGCAAATTTTTGTTCATGTTGTGTATGTCTCATGTCTCTTTAAAAATGTTATAGTTATACACCATTTTCGCACGGGACATGTCGCACTGGACAAAAATTCCTAGGTAAAAAAAGTTACAAATATACCGTTAGCCGAGATTGAACCATTTTCTGGTATATTTTTTAGATTGATATATTTTGTGGATTAACTTTTCTCAATAAACATATGTTTTATAAGCGGTAATACTTAGCAATAGAAAACATGACTAAAAGACTAGAAAAATAACAAAAATACCGAAAAAGTCAACTATTGCTTATTTGAATAGGTTTTAACATCAAAGTAAATGAAATAACATATATGCCAATAGGGTAAACTAGTTGTCGTTCAGTAAATTTAGACTATAATATTGCAACATAATTATATGGACATGTGTTTTTATAGACATTTAATTTTTTGGTCTCGGTGGACCTTGTCAGAGAAATTCCCATATGTCGACATAGACGTCTCTGACTTCTTTATTAATATCTGAAAACGGACTGCAGAAACCATATTCGGTGTGCTTAGGAAAAAACATCTGGTTTCAATGATTTCTTTCTATTTTATGAAACTTTATGAAACTCTGTGTGACGCAGAGAAAGAAGCTTTTCCGACCCCATAAAGTATATATATAATCAACATCAATAGCCGAGTCAATATAGCCATGTCTGTCCGTCCGTCCCGATGAGCGCCTAGTTATTAGAGACTATAAGAGCTAGAGCAACCAAATTTTGTTTCCAGACTCTTGTACGACATGACACGCTGATACAAGTGTATTTCAAAATTTTCGCCCCGCCCCCTTCCGCCCGCACAAATCTGTGGCAGCCACAATTTTAATATCTTCAGGTATATCCATTTTATCACCACGAATCAAAAATCCTGTGAAAAGTGGTACAATTTTCTTATCAACGTTATGTTTTGTTTGTTGAAATACGAGCTTCAGAATCTGAGTAAAAACGAGAAGGAACGTGTGAGTCGCTTCTGGGGACGCGACTCTACTTATACCCGTACTCAGTCAGTATATAAATTTTTTAGCTTAAGATTTATGTAGAATTAAAAAAAAATTTACATTTTATTTTTGATTTTTGATGGAAACAAATTTAACATTGTAAATTAAATAGCATATAAGCTAAGAAAAATTAGAAACAAAAATATTCTCTGGGTGGTTGTGGCGTTTGAACACGCCCATTTTCGCATATTATAAGTTTTACACTTCATAGGACACCCAGTAAAATTTTCATTTCAATGCACCCACTGTGCATCGGTTTGAAGTAACTTAACAGAAGTGTCCAAATTTCTTTGTCCGCTCTTGTATATACTGACTGAGTACGGGTATGAAAGTATAGTCGCGGTCACAGACCACAGATGTGTTACACACATCCACCACAAAACTAATATATCCCCAATTTCTTCGAGTACCTACTATAAAAATCTATGACCTTCTCTTATGTGATATCTCTGACTAGCGGTTGCCCCCAAGTATTTCATATACTCCCTTAACAACTGTCAACTCTTACATGTTTTTTACAATACAGGAAGCACCTAAGTACTGCGTCTAAGCGCATTGGAAGGCTGCAACAACAGTATAAAGAATATGGAAATCTTTGTCATCAGATCGAATGCATCACTTCCGAACAGTTGCTGGAATTCTTACGTCGAATTAATGATAGATATAATCGCGCCGTAAGCGAACCCGGTACAGCAGTAGGAGCAATTGCTGCCCAGAGCATTGGAGAACCGGGCACCCAAATGACGCTAAAGACTTTTCATTTTGCTGGTGTAGCTTCAATGAACATTACTCAGGGTGTGCCTCGTATTGTGGAGATAATCAATGCAACAAAAACTATTTCTACGCCGATAATAACTGCTGAGCTTCAAGAAAACAATAGCATGGAATATGCGAGACAGGTGAAGTCTCGCATTGAGAAAACCACGTTGGGCGAGCTGTCTTCTTTTGTCGAGGTCGTGTGTGGACCTTATAGTTGTCACTTAGCCATGGGAATTGACATGTCGCGCATCAAGGTGCTAGGACTTCATATCAACCTAGAGACTATTGTGGCTTGTATACTCAAGTCGCGAATGCGACTAAAGCCTGCACAAGTGGAGATTGCCGCCCGGACATCGCGTATTATTGTTCGTGTTGAAGCTTCGCGAACCTCAACAATAAACGCAGAGCTAGCGCGATTGGCGCTCTGCCTCCAAAACGTTGTTGTTGCGGGCCTGCCAAACATTGCGCGTGCCGTCATTGCAGTAGATGATACTCGACAGCCGGCCACATATAAACTTTGTATTGAAGGCTATGGGCTTCGCGAGGTCATTTCTACTTACGGCGTAGTCGGCGAACGCACTCGTAGTAACAATATCTGTGAAATATTCCAGACCCTTGGCATTGAAGCAGCACGGACCATTATCATGAGCGAGATAACGGAAGTTATGGAGGGGCATGGTATGAGTGTCGACTGGCGGCACATTATGCTTTTAGCCAGCCAAATGACAGCCCGCGGTGAGGTATTGGGTATCACGCGACACGGTCTTGCTAAAATGCGAGAAAGCGTTTTCAATTTGGCGTCGGTAAGTGCAAAAGAAATTAATTTTATTTAATTAAGCTAAACTTATCGTTTTTTAATCTCACTATAGTTTGAAAAGACTGCAGATCACTTGTTTGATGCAGCTTATTACGGCCAAACGGACACTATTAACGGAGTATCGGAGCGGATTATACTTGGTATGCCGGCGGGCATTGGTACAGGTATCTTTAAGCTACTACATCATCACGAAGACAAGCAAATTCCAATTATTGACCAAACAATTTGCATTGGTTTGGATCTTCTACCGTTCACGTAGGAGACACACTTTTTTAAACATATATTAAATCATATTTTTGAAAGATCCTTAATAAATGCCCATGCTGTCATTTATTGTTGGACGGAATCACTGACTAAGTCTACTGTAATTTTTATACCCGTACTCAAAGAAGAGTTAAGGGGTATATTAAATTTGTGGTAAAAGTGGATGTGTGTAACTCAGAGAAGGAAACGTTTCCGACCCCATAAAGTATATATATTCTTGATCAGCATCAATAGCCGAGTCGATATAGCCATGTCCGTCCGTCTGTCTGTCCGTCTGCCCGTCTCGATGAGCGCCTAGATCTCGGAGACTATAAGAGCTAGAGAAACCAAATTTGGTTTCCAGACTTATGTGATATCACACTGCTACAAGTGTATTTCAGAATTTCGCCCAGCCCGCTTCCGCCCCCACAAAGGACGAAAATCTGTGGCAGGCACAATTTTAAAAATACGATAAAAACACGGTATCGTAGCGTATGATCATATCTATACTGCCGAATCAGAATCAGATCGGATCATTACACTACTCGACAAAATTGAACTTTTTATTTAGGCTGTGAAACTACAAATTTTTGTAGTGCTTTATTTTTTTTATGGTGTCATTTTTTTTAAAGAGTTTTTAAAATCTGGTATTTTTTTCATGGTTTTTTTCAGAGGTAGTGCTTCTATTTTAATGAACAATAACTTAAACGACGCCTAATTAATGCGTCTATCTAAAACTAAAAATGCATGCCAAGAATAATTTTTCTTTCGACTTTTCCCGAGTTTTTAAAGTCACACAAACGCACTAAAACATGAGAGTGTAGGCGTGCCGACACCTGGTCTAGACGATGCAGAAGCAGCACGGCAGCATGTGTACCTGTGACGTAAACGATCTCATTTCACGCATACAATCATACATGCAAAGCGGTCAGCATCAAAGATATAAAAGCTTCACGTGCAGCCGCTGCATCGTTTAGAAGCATCTTAAGCCTATCTTCCGCTCTAATTTTTATGGAGCTTTCGGGCAAGTCCCGTAATTTAGAATTCGGAGCTCTCTCCGCTTTGCTCTCCAGACAATGTCTCTCGCGGCGATCGTCGACAGCATCTTTAGCTAGACTACTTCCCTGTCCGTTTTGTATTCGCGTCCGTTTGCGCGAATTACGGTTCTAAGGTGAACTTTGTCCAGTGAATCCAGTTGCAGTAGCTATGTAATTACAGTTCTAGGGTGATTTTCCGTTTAAAGATTGACAACCTTCTTCCTTTCTGGTCAGAATTATAATGCTCGTTTATTGGTTTACAAGCTAAGAAGCGACTTATGGAATAAATGGAATACAATCAGAAAATGAAATGGAATGGAATGAGAATGAGAATCTGCTTAATCGGCAGATCTCGCGTGGTTGACGATCCGCTGGGTAAGCGGTTGGCTCCGCTTCCGCTGGTGTCCGAACTCAGCGTTTTTGTATACAGTGAATGGGTTAATGACCATTCAACTGTGTCGCTGAGGTTTGGGGGGGCGGCGGTGTGGCCGCAGCAATGTGTGCGGTAACTCCTCCCCCCTAGAGTGGAGAGAGGGCCACAACGGAGGAATGGCCGGCTCTACAAAAGTAGGTAGGGTTGGAGGGTGTGGGAGGAAGATGGTCTTCGGTTTATGGCAATATTGAAGGATGGCGATGAGGATAAGGATCAACGATATTGCCGAGTATAAGGCCGTGAACTTGTAGTGTGCTGCAACATCCATGGTGATGATCTTCCCAGCGGTTGAAATGGCTTCTAAGTGCAATCTCTCTAGTGATAACGCTTTGATCGTTTTATTTTTTGATATCTTAGCAATCGGAGGAAGTAGGAAGGTGAAATGATCTTCTTCTGTCAATTCCTCATCACTGTATTCCACACCGTTAATCCATACGGTACAATTCTTGTATCGTATTATGGAGGAGCCATTCAAGTGGGTGTCATTGGAACAGGTCGATTTAAGGGTAGCGTTCTTTTCATTGAAAATGAAGATAAACCCCTTTTCTGCCTCGAATATGTTCGTTCCATATTCTGTATCTATCATGTCGCACTTTGTCTCTTTTTCGTTCATGATGATATCTGATAGGCATTTTTTGTTGTTAAATTCCAAATCTGTGTGGGTCTTCTGGCAGAAGAACTCCTGTTCCACCTTCTGACAGCTTTCTCGAAACTGCAATATAGTATCGTTGTCGTGGGCCAAAAATGTAGGTGAAATGATGAAGTGTGAATTGTTTACCGGCAGTGGTATTATATGAGTGAACTTATATACTTTAGTGTCGAAAATTGGAATCTTAACGCTAAACAATAATTTTGTCTTAAAAGTATAGCAAGATGGTGTGAGAATGTTATAAATGTGTTCATCTAGTTTTAACTGAATGTTCTGGGTGTTTAATATATTTCTTATCGTATCTATTTGTTTTTTATTAAACAAGAATTTTGGGATTAGTCCCAATTTGCTGGCCAAAAGGCTCTCAGCAATATTGTTAATATGTTCTACTAGTGTGTCAATGTGAAAGTTTATCTTATTGATATATTGTAGTGCGTAAAAGTGTTCCCTATCTTCTTTAAGCTCTTTAAAAATAGTATTTTGGGTTGTATCTAGAAAGTTTTGTAATTTAGTTTGCTCGCTATTAATATGGTTGGTGATACTATTGAACCTAATGATAACCTGTTTATCAAAATTTTCCTGTTTTTCTTGGGCATTTTTTAGTATGTGGGATGTATCTTTTAGCGTATTAATCTCTGCCAGGATATTTTGACCATCATTATCATCTAAATTACCCGATATCGATTTAAAGACAGTACCTAAGCCATTGATTAAACCCCGTTTTCTTCTCACGTGTGGGAGTAGAGTGTCTATTCTCTCCTCCAATTGCTGTAGTTTGCTTTGTATAATTTCGAGCGAAATTTCGAATGTTTCGTCTAATCTAAGGCTTTTTAATGTGTTTCTTATTCTGGAAAGGCAAACTTTGAAATCTTGTACATCTACGATGTGGGTTAGAATTTTATGATTCTGTGTTATATGAGCGTTTCCCAGATGAATGAATGCAAGAGGTGAGGATCCGTTGAGTCTTTCTAAAGAGAAGGACTGCGCGGCGGAATGGGTTGTTCTGGAATGAAGTAGGTTTACTAGGTGTTATTGTTTTTCCTGATTATTTTTCTTATTTTTTTTTTGTGTAGTTTTTGTTGTCTAGTGGTTAGTAATGTAACCCCTTTATCGGTTCTGACTTTGTGCAAGGAAAACCTAGGTGTAAGTTTGTTCCTCCTATTCTCTTTCCTAAAGATAACATCGTCGGGTTCTACTTGGATTGGCGGTTCTCTGTCTTCGTTGAGCTTGGTTAATCTTTGTTCTGTTTTGTTATTTAGTTGTTCCTGTATTTTGGGATATAGGTCCCTTCTAAATTCGTTGAGTTTTGACAAATAGTCATGGTGGTTGTCGAATTTTACTGTTTTTTCGAATATGTGAGTTCTGCCATGGAAAAGTTCAAACGGTGTATGGGCAGTGCTAGAGTGTATTGCATTGTTATATGTTGTCACTACCTCCGAAAATATCTCCGCATGGTCAGATTGGAGTTGAAGTTCCTTTCTGCGGTTATCAATTATTCTATATAGCTCTGTGAATGTCGAATGGAGTCTTTCAACAGGTGCATTTCCCGTTGAATGTTGGAATGAGGTAATGTGAATAGCTATGTTGTATTGAGTCAGGAAGTCGGTGAACAAGTTTCCCGAAAATTACGCGCCCTGGTCAAAGACCAATTTCTTCGGTAGGCCGAAGGTACTAAAGAATTGTGAAAGTGCTGCGATAACTTTAATTGAATTCCTATTAGTTAATGGATATGCCTGTGCGAACTTTGAAAATTTATCAATGATAGTTAAATTATTTGTATTGTTGATTGTATAGATGTCAATATGAACAACATCTAAAGGCCCTGTTGGTGCAGGTGGGGTTTGCATGAAAGGTCTGTGAGGTTGTCTATCATATTTAAATGTTAGGCAAATGTCACAGTCTTTGATTATTTGTGTAATAATTTCTTTCATGCGTGGGAAATAAATGTCTCTTTTGAGATGGTTAAGGGTCTCGTCAATTCCTCTGTGATTGCTATTAAGGTGATACGATTGGATCCTTCTCTTTTGTTCTTCTGGATCGGGAAGGTCGATTAGAAGTGATGAGCAACGACAAATGTTATACAGATTATTTCCTGTAAAATAGTTGTTGTATGCTTCTTCAATTATACAATAGACGTTGTCTGGTGCTAATATGGCATGCGTTTTGTTCGGTTTGAGAATAGTCTGGAGTATATTAGTGATTGAGTCTAACGTGTATTCTGGTTCCGAGAAGGTACGTCTTATCTTATGGGGGAATGGCGTTATTAACTGTACTGGGATTGATGGTCCGATTTGAAAAATTGTTTGGATATTGAAATAATTAAGAGGTTTTTGGACAAGTGTTATTCTCGATGGGTCTTCGTTTATGTTTAAATTTGGTTCTATTCTGCTGAGTGCATCAGCAACAACATTCTGGGATCCTTTTTTATAAACTACTTCGTAGTCGTAAGCGGCCAGAGTGGTTTTCCACCGAAGTAATTTTGGGTTTTGACCTTTTAGGTTTTCCAACCAGACTAATGGTTTGTGATCGGTCACTATTTTGAACCTGCGACCAAAAAGGTAAGGTCTGAAGTGCCCTACCGACCAAACGATCGCAAGCATCTCTTTTTCTATGGTTGAGTATCTAACTTCCGTGTCAGAGAGTGTACGACTGGCGAATGAGATGGGTCTATCGTTGGTGTTTGATCCTTGAGATAATACCGACCCTATGGCGTAATTACTTGCATCTGTAGTCAATGTAAATGGTTTAGTGAAATCTGGGTAAACTAGTATCGGGTCGTTGCATAGGAGATTCTTTGAGTAAGCTACTGCTTCCTTAAACTCGTCGTCGATCACTATTGATTTCTTGCCTTTCAATTGTCTAGTTAGAGGTTTGGTTATTCTTGCGAAGTCTTTTATGAATTTCCTGTAATAACCTAATAAGCCGAGGAACGACTTAATTTCCCTAACGGTTTTCGGGCAAGGGAAGTTCTTGATTGCCTGGATTTTATCTGGGTTAGGTTTAACTCCTTCCTGTGTCACAATGTGTCCCAGGAAATCAATTTCTTTTCTGAGGAAATTGCACTTGGCTGGTTGTATTTTTAAGTTTGCAATTCGTAGTTTAGTGAACACTGACTTAATGTCTGTAATATGGCTCTGTAGCGAAGGGGAGAATATAATAATGTCGTCAAGGTATACAAGGCAAACTTTTCCTATTAAGTCTCCCAGGACATTGTCCATAACGCGCTGGAACGTCGCAGGTGCGTTCTTGAGACCGAAAGGCATCCGCGTGAACTCGTAATGTCCGTTTTCGACGGTAAATGCTGTTTTGTTTGCGTCACGTGGGTTCATCTCAATCTGATGAAAACCACTAGCCAAATCGATTGTCGTGAAGTATTTTGTTTTCCCTATACTGTCTAATATGTCAGCTATATTGGGGATTGGGTACCTGTCTGAAATGGTTTTTTCGTTTAGTTTACGGAAATCTATTACCAATCGCCACTTTTTTTGACCTGATGCATCCGTTTTCTTAGGCACGACCCATACGGGTGCGCTCCAAGGGAATGACTATTCTTGATAATATTCTGTTGGAGCATTTTTGAAATTTGTTTCCGAACTTCTTCTTTGTGTATAAAAGGGTATCTATATGATTTGGTGTGTATGGGGACGTCGTCTACTGTGGGAATCGAATGCTTGACAACATTTGAAAACGTCAGTTGGTTATCCTCATTATAGAAAAGTTTTCTGAACTGTTTGCAAAGTTTAACTAGGTTTTGTGTTTCCTCATCGTTCAAGTGTCCTGTTTGAATATCTAATTTCGACTGTGCATCTGTGGGCTGTGGAGCTTCTCCCGCGAACATGCAGTTCAGATACTCGTAATCCTGTATAGAGGCCGTCTCCGCTTGTAATAGTTCCTCTAGGTACAATGTTTGGTCGTAGTCTGACATGTTGCAGACTTCGAAGTGTGCAAAACCCGCAATTGCGGTATATAGTCCACCCGTGATTGATAAGTCATTATTTAAAGTTGTAGTTTCGAGTAAGAAATCCCCCTTCATTACATTTACGGGAAGTGGCAATCTGACCTTCGTGTTTAGTGGTACGGTGTGTGTCGTGTCGGTAGAGAAGACTTCGTCATTTCTAGGACAGAGTCAGCTATGTTTATTTTTGCATCTAAGCTGCTTAAGAAATCCATGCCCAAAAGGCCATTGAAATGTGGGTGGAAGTCAAACAAAAAGAATTTTGGCTTTTCTGTCGTATTGAATTGTTCGAAGATAATTGAGTCTGTATATTCCTGAATTTGAAACTTATTAAGAACGGTATGAATGCTAACATGAGTTTTTAATTTTTTAATGTGGTCTTTTGTGACCAATGTCGGTTTTATAAAGGAGTAAGTGGAACCGGTGTCTATGAGGAATTTATGCGGGTTTGTTGTCAAGGATTTTGAAGATAACAGGACATAAGGTAAAGATTTTCCATGGGATTTTTTGTTTAAGAAGCCGACTGGTTGTCCGAGGCTTCTTGTAAAAATTTGCGCCATCGTTGATGTTGCAAGAGGCAGTAGGGGTATTGTCGTTTGATCCAGAATTATTTCGGAATGGGTTCTGGGTCCTAGACGAATGGGTCTCTTGTCGGTTTTGGGATTGTTGTCGCGTGTCGTTTCTCCTATTGTTGTTGTTGTTGCTTGATTGTCTCTGATTCTGCTGGTTACGTTGATACGGGCGGTTTCGGTCGCCCGAACTTTCGCGGTGGCGATAATTTTGTTGATCATTAGAATTATCACGGCGATGATTATTACGTAGGTCGTTAGAATTCTCGTGGTGATGATTATTCTGCTGACCGTTAGAGTTTTGGTAGTAAAAATTCTGTTCTATTTGTGCCATTTCGTAAGCTTTTTCTATGGATTCCGGATTTCGGGATCTAATTATTGTTTTTAGTGGACCGTTTAGTCCGACAATAAATGCGTTGAGGCAGATGTCGGAGTATAAGGCGTGTTTTGCCGTGGGGTTTTGGGCATCACGGTTTGGATCATTAGTCAATGACACCAGTTGCCCTCTCAACTTTGCTATCGCGAAGAATAGTTTGTTAATGGAGAGTCCGGTTGGTAAGGTTTGAATTTCGCGAATCAATATAGCCTCTGTCTTCTTGCTAGTGTACAATCGTTTAAGGTTTGCTTTGATTTCGTCCCAGATGAGTGGTGTACCACAAAGGGTCAATGCTTCATGTGCCTTGCCCTTTACCCTATTCCGGATGGCCCTGAGGATCATTTGGCCGTACGGCGTCTGGTCCACGGACCGAATAAGTATTAATAATTCCTCGACACTGGTTATGAAATTTTCCAGGTTGTCGGAGGGGCCCTCGTAGGTTGGCAAATGTTGAACAAATGCCAATATATCTTTAGGGCTTAGGTTAGTGTTGACGATAGTCAACGAGTTGCTAACCGTGGGGCTGATGGAGCCCGAAGCGTTACCAGAGTCTAAATGGTTCATGTTGGTGCTTGAGGTTTGAGGTTCTTGCGCTTCCTGGTCGTACTGTTCTTCTTGTTCCCTTATGTCTGGGAGGCTAGCTCCACTTCTCAAGCCTAATCTTCTGCCTGCCGCGTTAACTTTTTTTAACATCTAGTGATCTAACTTATTTTATAAGGGTGTTATTGTAATTTAATGTATGTTATTATTGATTATTATTAGTACGTATTAACTTGCGTAGATGTCTTTTTTCTTAAAGAGGTTGGTTGGTTGTTGTGTGTTTTTTTTTTTTTTTTGTGGTATCCCTTCTCTGTGTTGTGTTAACTGTAATGTATGTATACAATTATGGGATTAGTGATATGTTTAAAATTTTGGTAATATATATATTTCATAGGTAAGTGAACTTGTGGCTACTACAGGAAGGAGTATATGTGACGAAGAAAAAGTATGACGTAATTATTGGATCCGATTTTGTTCAGTGTACAGACAGAGTTTGTATCTGCACTCGAAGTGTTGCATCAGCAGTTTTCGCTTCGGTTTCAGTTTTGTAAACATTTCTATTTTTCCGACTCTTTGCGGTCTGTGGTCCCGGTGCCTTATCAGCGTTTGACGTGCACATATTCGGCCACAGAAGGAATGTATATGTGTGCCCTTTTTTTTTTGTAAATATTTTTAATATGTGGTCCCGGTGCACTATCAGCGTTTGATGTGCACATATTCGGTCACAAAAGAATGTATATGTATGCACTTTTTTTGTAAATATTTCTAATATGTGGTCCCGGTGCACTATCAGCGTTTGATGTGCACATATTCGGTCACAAAATAATGTATATGTATGCATTTTTTTTTTGTTTTAATTTGAGTAAATCTTTTGACTACGTGGTCCCGGTGCAATATCAGCGTTTGATGTGCACATTTTCGGTCACGCATCTTATATTGTATATGAGTATTAGTGTTGGATCTGTCACTTTTTGCCAAAAATGCGAGCCCGGTGCCTTATCGGAGTTCGATGTGCACATATTCGGTCGCAACTTGGGCAAACACCAGCACTTGTACACTTTCACGGATTGGTTTATATCAAAAATATGCATTATTATTATTTGTGTTTAATTTATTTAGTTTTTTTTTTTTTTCATTGTATTTTTGTTTGCAAATATATATTTTATATATCTATTTTTTATGAACTTGTTTGTTGTTGTGTTTTTTTTGTTATTCGTCACTCCATTTCTTCTTTTTCCTTTATTTAGCAACCATTCGTTCACTCACCTGTCTTACAGATATATTATGATGAGGAGTCGGAGCATTTTAGAATCTCCAGGTCCGATGCCGGCTGCGCCAATTACGGTTCTAAGGTGAACTTTGTCCAGTGAATCCAGTTGCAGTAGCTATGTAATTACAGTTCTAGGGTGATTTTCCGTTTAAAGATTGACAACCTTCTTCCTTTCTGGTCAGAATTATAATGCTCGTTTATTGGTTTACAAGCTAAGAAGCGACTTATGGAATAAATGGAATACAATCAGAAAATGAAATGGAATGGAATGAGAATGAGAATCTGCTTAATCGGCAGATCTCGCGTGGTTGACGATCCGCTGGGTAAGCGGTTGGCTCCGCTTCCGCTGGTGTCCGAACTCAGCGTTTTTGTATACAGTGAATGGGTTAATGACCATTCAACTGTGTCGCTGAGGTTTGGGGGGCGGCGGTGTGGCCGCAGCAATGTGTGCGGTAACTCGCGCGGCAGTGTGGGTCGACTACCGTTTAAGTGTGGCAAAAATACTGTTGAACTACTGAGCTTTTCAGTAAGTAAACTAATCGAGCGGGTTCTATTTAATGTATTTATAATAGAATTTATTTTAATGCTGCTCCACTGGCTATGGTATATGTACTACTCTCTAATATTAGGCTGGGTGACTAAACATACTCCCCCATTGAAAGCTTGACATTTAACAGCTTAAAACGGGGTTCAGCAAACTCAGATTGTTGTTGTTGGGGCCATTCCTCCTTCCATCACTGTATGATTCGAATTTGCCGCCCTTCCTCCAAAAGGCCAATATTGGGATGAAGGTCCAGCAGAGCTCGTGTTCCAGCGCGATGTCCAGATTTATGTCTATTGGCAGAGACTAGTTTAGCTCGTTCCCCCGAAAACGAATATCGGGCGGATCGTGGCGCATTAAGGAACTCCGCAATGTTTAAAGAGCCGAAAACGGGAACGCAGGCTGAACATCAACAGGAACCGACGCAAGTCCATCTTTGCGATGTCATCGAGGCCTCCATCCAACTTCAAATAACATTCCCTGGGCAAAAAAATCAAACGCTCTGGTGAGAATTTACTTATATCGAATGGCCCAAAATCTTATCAGAATCCATACGAGAACTTCCAAGTGTGATTCCCTCAGCAAGCGTAAGATTTAGAGTCACGGGCGAGAAGCGGAACGGGAGTCGAATTTTCGACTTCTTCGTCCTTTCATGTGGAAAGGACCTGTTTCCAGCTAATTTCCATAGCAGAAGCTTTAGAAAGGTTTCTATCAGAAAGAAGACTGCAAAGTGGAACGCATGTGCTAAAAGCACCATGAACCGAAAGTAGAACACAAGCCAAACGACGCAAGTACCGGTTTTGTTACTTGTGTTCCGTGGGCTCACACGAATTTTTAAACGAGAAAGTTTTTGTTTCTTGTGATTTAATTGTTTTCTTATATTTACGTTGGGATCACCAATCACCTGAGCTTTTTAAGTCGCTATTGAAAATGAACGAATCGAGCGGGTTCGATTTGAAATATTTACAGTTTATTATAATGCGAAGTTTGTAGGCGATGAAAATTGTATGTCGTTAAAGGTACAGCGCACAGTGGGCGAGCTCCCATACGACAAAAATAGAAAAAACCAAATCGAAATTTTACAATTTTAATCATTTTGATCATCTCATCTCTTTTTGAATCCAATAATTCTTCCAGTGTTTGTTATTCGCTCTTTGCAAAAACAAACCACTTAAAGTTTGGCCACGTGCTCGGCAGTTCATTGCGTTTTGATTTTTTAGAAAACAAAACCCATCTTTTAACATTAAAAATGTTTTTAAAATAAACGCCAATAACTTTGAAGTAATATGGATATCGTTCATACAGGTATAAAGCTTAATTTAAATCAAACAACTATTTTTAGATTGTTTTGTGTCGTAAAAAAATCGAAAAAAACCAAAATGTCTTGTGAGTGTTTTTCGATTTCCAGTTATAGCTTCTCTTAAGCTTTTAGTTGTGTTCCGCACCGATTCCCAGGTTCATATTATTTTTGATCATAGATGCATATTTTAAGATCAAAATAAAACCAGAACTATCTGCCTTTAGCCGCCTTTTCGGTACCATATGTCGATCGGAGCGCAACTGGTATATGTTTGTGTTATTTTTGTTTTTTTTTTTACTAATTACTCTTTTATGTGTTTGTTATTGTTTATTTGTGTTTTAAATGTCAAATTTATATGTTTTATTTATAATTAACACTATTTCTTCTGGTAACTGTTATAGGATTTTCTTGTCAATGTACCATCCTGCATAGGTTTTTTTTTTGCGTGGTGCTCAATAATGCAGTAATGCTGAAAAAGTTCGATTAGTTGTAGATTTGATACAGCTAGAATTGGAAACTAAAGGGTATGTTGCAGACCAAGAAAAATTATTAGCTTTTGCCGATGCTGTTTGCAACAAAATATGCAAACTGTGGCAAAACTGCAACCGTACAAAGAAGGCAGTTCTGCAGAGGCATTCGGATTGGCTTCAGACAGTGGAGAGCTTCAACGTATTGAAAAATTCCGAAAAATTGAATGAAGCTAAACATCGCGGTCGTCCGAAGTCAGAATTCATCGAATCGTCTAAAAAAACGAGGCAACGGATAGTAGGAAAAATTTCTGAGTTCGATGAGGTCGACTGCAAATGCTTTACGAAATATATCCCAAGATGCCAATCAAACTTTCCCTGAAGCTGATGCTCAGGAGACTGTTGCACTTATGATGGATGCCAATTTAACAAAAAATCAATATCAGGGCTGCCACAGAAATCTCTAGAGATTTTGACTCGAAAGATTTGTCAAATCAACCGAAAAATCCGTGGGTGCCACAGGATATCTAGAGATTTCATTTTTCGGACACTTTTTTCGGAGTTCACGGGCAACAATGAGAACTGTAGCTCAGAGTTGTAGTGTTTCAAAAATAATTTTGTGAAATGCTGGTCTTTGTTTATTTTATTGTTTTTTATTAGGGATCTGAGAAGGAATTTTTTGTATAAAGTTACCCAAAACAACTTTTGCATTTGGCCACTCTTCGCTAATAATCTTTGAGCATTTTCTGAACAATAAAATCTAAATTTTTTGCCCGCTCAATTAAAGTGTTGAATGACAATCCTGATAAAGTTTTTTTTTTTGCGGCTGTCTGTAAATGGCCTGGCAAACGTCAATTACTTGCATTCTAAATTGAACAAATTTTATAGAAAAATGCCAGTCGCCGGATTAATAGCAAGGGATCTTCATAGAAGGAAGAAAATACAAGAGGAACGAATAGAACGCAGGATGTTATGAACGAAGTCAGAGCCGTTGTCTACTTCTGACTCCATGTTGGTTTTTGTTTTTTAAGCAACATGTAAAAAAATGATTATTTATTTTCTTATTTTGGTTATAACTATCGTGTGGACAAAGAAACTTCCATGATGGTTTTTAATTTGATAAGGTAAGACATCCCATCATCAACCATTTCACCGATCCTGCAGTTGGCAACTGCTCTTCGATTTTTGGCCTGCTTCGGCTGGATGGCCGTTGCAAGCGCATCCTCTGTGGGCGTCAATGTCTCCTGCTTGTATGGGCCGCCGCCCGTGGCCCTGGTTTCTTTTTTGTTCTCGGCCAATTTCCTTTTTAATCCTTTTTTCCAGTCCTTCCAGATCTGAATGTGGTTATGTACATAATTAAAGTATAGTGCGTGTGAATATGTTGTCGCTTACTCTACGAACTATTTTTCTTTTTGACATTGATGTTAGCACACGATAACACACTTGGGGTTGCCACCTAATATAAATAATTGGAGCGGCAGAATTTTGGCACGGCTGAAAATTTAAATGATGTAAACTTAAGTTATTTTTTTTATCTCTAATTTAAAACCATTAAATGCATAATATCATTCGAAT